CTCTCTCTCTCTCTCTCTCTCTCTCTCTCTCTCTCTCTCTCTCTCTCTCTCTGTCAACACTCTGTCTCACTCACTCTCTCTTTCTGTCTCACTCTCTCTCTCTCTCTCTCTGTCTCTCTTATTCTCTCTCCTCTGGTGTGCGAGAATGGCAAATAGCCTCACCAGCATACAAACCACTCGCACTGGCCGCAACAGCAACAAACCTTACTATGTCTGAAGAACTCAACGCGCCAACGAACGTCTACATCCCGAGATACCTGCGCGTGGTCCGTGCTTGGATGTTGCCACCCCGCATAGGAATTCATTCGCCGGGATTTCACTCTTGCTGGGTGCGTCAAACATACATTCATCCAGCGCACTCAGGCCATCTTCGAAGTTTCGTCCTTGGCCATCACGCTCAAATGACAACTGCAGATCTCACCATCGGTAGCGTAGAGTTCACAACGCGATCTTCTTCTTTCACGTATTCATATCACTTCTCGCAAGGGCGCGCGTAGTCGAGTGACCATACGGCCGAAAAGAGACAAATAGAATGGTCCCGACCACGGTTGTGGGTCTTCCGAGATCGCCGTCATGCCACCCCGCGGGCCGACTACTGCCGACACTAGATTCATGGTAGGGGTACCAATATCGCCGCATGTTCACCCTGGCCCTCCTGCGGCTGGAAGTGGGCCGAGCACAATTCATGAGAAATATTCCGAAGCCAGTGTTACACGGCGGTGGCGGCGTCTCCTTCGAGTAGTGTAGTAGTGTCGCCTCTACGTCACGCTCGTTTCTCGAGCGGGGTTTCATATTATTCAAGTTCTTGCAATCACCATTCCCATTTCTTCCCTGCACGAGCGTGGAAATCACGATCTTCAGCTTCATGTATGTATATTCAGCCTCGGCAGTCACATTTAGTGCACGAATCCTCCCATGGGATAATCCATGGCGGTGTGAAATTGCTTCATGACATGACGTCAAACGTCAAAGAAGCTCTAAAGAGCTCGTGGTGGTCCCGTGAAGAGCGTCATTGGAAGTACTCTTCTTCGCAATGCCATGTGATCCCACTTCCAATGATGATCCTAACGTCTCATGTCAAAGTGTAGGCAGAGGAGTCCCTCTCCTGTTATAATAGGCCTGCAATTCTCTCATCATTCACTAGCTCGTGGGTACGCGGGCCATGTGAAATTCACTCCTGCTGCAGGTTTCGATGCTCGTCAGATCCTTGTATTCTTGACAATTTCCCGAGGCCATTACTTTCCTTGACGGTTAACAGGTCGTTTGTTTCCCCCCTCAAACCGTGATGCTCTCCCCTCAACTTGGGGCTCTGGATCTTCTTCGGCATGCCATTTCCCCCCGCCTTCGCCTTAGTGCTCGTCAGGATTCCATATATATTGCCCCTCATCTCGCCCCTATGGCGGTTCGGTGGGAACGAATCAGGTGACGGAGACACAGTCTCTAACCCTGGTCAAGAACCTCATCCGGGTGTCCATCAGCACTGTTTGCCATCTACGCGGCATATTCCCCGCCAAGTGCTTCCAGGAGCGGACCTACGGTAAGCCAGGGCCCTCGGATAGCTGGGCAGAGGGCGAATGTCTACTTCAACTGCTTTGCTGTTGGTCGACCTACATACTCAAGGGCACCTCAATGACCTCTTGCGGATGTAGGCTTGTGGGTGCTGACGATTGTCCCGTATTAGGCCTCGAAGTGGTGTTGTAGATTGTCGTCGAAAAGTATGTCCTAATTTGTTCTTGAGTTGGTGCGTGCTCTCTCCGCAGTGTGTCGCGCGAGCAGAACAAACCCTATGCAGCAATGACCACTGATGTACATTAGGAGAGCACCCGATTGTGCAAACTAAGAGTCACAGGTCAAACGCAAAACTCAAGTGCTGCGTGTGGGCCTGTACGTATCCTGTACAGCTGCAACGCGGCGAAGCAACTCACTTGTTGTGCCACTGGACTCTACGTACGAGAGGCTTGACTCTGAGTACGCAGGAAGTCCGAAGGAGAAGAAGATGGGTTGTTGGTGGAAATGTAGTTTCTTGATCAGTGGAGACCAGAAACGATGTAGAGAAACAGAGTGAAGCAACGGAGGTGGATTTCTAAAGAGAAGCAGAGGGTTGGAGAACCCGCCAAGAAGCAGAAGGTTGGAGAACCCTCAATTAAGCAGAGGGTTGGGGAACCCCCAAAGAAGCAGAGTGAGAGGATGGGGCGAGTACGCGCTCATCCTCGGAATCATGGAATCACACCTATCGGACAACGTTGACCAATCACACGTGTGCAGAATACGATACTCGTAAGCTACGATACGTTTCTGGAAACAGGACTGCAACACCATGCTCTCGAACTTGTGCCACGTGTGCACATCAAGTATTGTACTTGCACGCAGAAGTGATTACTTGCACTGACGTACGACAAAACGTAGGATACAGCTTCAACAATTGAACTACTTCCAAATTCCACTGCTGAGCGCACGCGCATATCCATTCATTCAAGCACGCAAGTCTGAGTCACGTGCGGCGGAACATATCCTTTCATACCCGCATGTCGGAGATACTTGCGACAACTACCCGATGCATCTAGTTCTGAGCTTCTTGCACTGCTGTGATATATTTCCGGAAATCTACATAGGCTATGCAGATTATTTCTGGATATGAAACACAGAACATCAACCAACTATGAACGTCTCCTTATTCCGAGAATAACGGATCACACGGAATTTTTTCTACGACATGACATAGCGACATTGACAGTATTTCAAGTAGTCAAGCTGACTACCAAATGCTGAAGCTACGGTGGTGCCAAATATTCCAACATGACCAATGACGTCACCTCACGAAATATCACTAAGTATTTCCCCACAACCCGCCGTTGTGCCTACACTGATGGGCTGAAATAGACTTTATTCAAATAGTCTTTTCCGTGAAATTGCAGGAAATTCATTGCTCTCTCGTCGCACCACAGCCCGCCATTATTTCTTTCGCTTGGAATTAGACTGGCGGGTCTCCTCTCTCGGCGCACCACAGGCGAGCATTTCCAGGCCTGCCGTCTCGTTCTTTGCTCTCCCTGTCACTTCAAGTGCAATCGACCGAGGCTGTTGCCGCTGTCTTCGGTCCCTTTGCACCCAGTGCTTCGGGCCCTGCACTCCCGGTCAGTGCTTCAACCAGTCAGGGCTCCCGTTGGGCGCAGCATTCTGCACCTCGCACGCTCACTCCCTCTTTATTTGCACTCATCGATCAGCAGTCATCCTCGCATGCCCCGCAATCAACCATCATCGGTGCTGTCATCCACGTCCTCACCCACGCGTTTCCGCGAGCAGATATCCCTCCCTTTCTCTCTTTCACGCTCTCTCTCTACTCTTTTTCTCTCTCATTCTCTCTGTCATGTGTTAATGCAGCAGTAGTCACCAGCTCCGTAGAGTCTAACAACTCAGTCGCTCTGTGACAATCTTCTCGTTTCAATCAATAATTTTGTAGTCTGCAGTCATCCAATATGTTATTAATCAGTCGCAGTGAAATCCACATATGTATATGCACACAAACATCATTTTTCTCGATGCCCATGTCTCATCAGTCGTGTGTCTAGCACAAAAACGTGCCTTCAGCACAAAAACAAGTATCTTGGAATCACTTCTCAAAAGCGCGGCGGCGGAAGCCACCGAAACCCTTGTATTTTCTACTAGCTGGATGCTCTCTCCTGCTCGCAGCAGGCCTCTTGCAGTTTAGCCTCCAGCGGTGCCTGTGCTTCTTCCAACCGCAATGAAACGATGCACTCCCCAATTGATGCTAGTGGAGGAACCTGTGCATCTCCCTTAGCAAACAACACGGCAATCGCCTGTGTCGTCAACGCAGCGGGCATGAAGATCTATCAGCTAGATGCCGCGACGCGAGACGCCGATACTGACGAAACTGTTGTGAAAGATCAAGAAGCGTACGACCTCACCATGTGGCTCGAGTCGGGCGTCTTCAAGGCTGTCGAGCACAGGTTGGCGGGTTCAGGTTCTCGAGCGATATTGCAGCCCGTGTGTCACGGGGTTCCCAACGAACTGGTGGCATCGTTCGCAAGTTTCGATCGAACCTTCGGATCAGTTTTGATGTTCGGATCTTTTGAACGCTATACGAGGACGAGACTGAGTGAGTTGCTGTGGGTTTCGGGTCGGGCTGGCATCAAACATTTCATTCGAGTGGTTGTTGATAGGGTTGGGAATAGTGTACGGTCAAACGGGGCCTGTGTAATTGTTTTGTATTTGTTCCAGAGTTTATCAAGGAAATGGCGTCTCGACTCGAGCACCCTGGAGGCGGCATTCACTCTGGAGTGAATATTTCTTTGATTTGTAGAAAGTCACAAAGTATTCCTTGGAAATGCGTGACAAGCGCGAGTGAATACGACCCTCGATCTACATGTACGTACAACTTTCGCCGGACCCTCCTACTCACGTAGTTTCGAAGGTCGCGCTTAGAAACTAAGCTAGTTTTCCACGTGTTGGGGTTTCGGAAGTCGGAGACTTCGCCCTGTCCATCGACGGCCAACTTCCAACCATACCCGTTCATTTTCCGAGCGACGTCGTCGTCGCTTCGTCGCATTCATCCCTTCCAGGTATCTTCGGCGGATGGAGTTTATCATCATGTCCCCTAACCACGAGAACCCACGGGAGGCCTACTCCTTCGACCTTTCCTATCCAGAGGATCAAGGGGACGAGGCCGTCATCTTCAGCGGCACCAAGGTTTGCTGAAGCCCTTGTAGCGTGTCGTGCCTATGCCAAAAGTGATTTTGGACATTGAATCAGCCTAACTGTTTCCATCATGTACGTGTCCTAGTAAAGGAGAAATTCAGAAACAAACACGAAGAAAAGTCATCCCAGGTGCTAAACCGATACGCTTATGTCGTGCAGCAATTCCCCAAGCTGATACAAAAACGTTTGATTTAGTGTAATCATTTTGAGGGCGCTTCTTCATCCGTGCTACTGGTCTGAAGTATCTGTGTTGGTTATCTTTGGACAAGCTTTTCGTGCGTCGATTTCAAGGCAATCGTGAGGTAGGGGCTCTTGTTAGCAGTCAACGCTGATCAACGTCAACCTGCACCGGTGTGCTGTCAACAATGTTTCAGGGTAGCCCTTCCTCAGCACGGTCGCTCATATGGTACAGTGTAAGAAATTCTGGCGTGTACTTTCCTATCCCTACGAAGAGTCGGGTAGCCGCGTGAGGTCGAGTCTGCCAAGAACGAGTTCTCTTGATCGCTTCACACCCACCATTCCTTCCAGGTGTAGCTGTTATTGATGTACGCATCTTTGGCAATGATGTGACTGACCTTGGGTTGTTGCTCGACTCGGTCGATCGGAAGGTGACCACCGTCAAAAGTGCCAAGAACGAGCTCATCAACCTGATCCGGTCACTCATTTCGTTCGGCAACACACTCGGAGAGCTACCCAGAGAGAGGATTCTCAACATCAAGGTTGGTTCCAAGAAGTAGCCTCCGCGCAGTAGTCCAAGCAGCAAAATTGATTAAGCAAATAAATGGGATCCATTATTGAATTTGTGCTTTGAGGTTCGGGTTCGGGTTAGGGATAGGGTGTGCGTGCCCGCTCCCTATTCTTTTTCTAGATAATATTTGAAGCCTGCGTAGGCGGTTCCCTCCGCGTGTTATGCCACAATATATCGCTTGGTCGAACCTTCAACTATTTGCGTTTTCGACACATGACCGACGGATTCTACGCTGTACAAGTATGTACTAAAAACCCGGTGAACCGCCAAGTTTTACATTGAAGACTACATAAGGAAAGAGATAACAACTGTGAGAGTATCACGCGTTCTTCGTGATTTTTCTCTTCTTTGCAATGTTTGGTAAGATGCATGCCAGAGAACGTTTCACCGCGGGCCTGGCCTCAAAACGCACTGCCAATCTCCACCCGACACTGTAACCTGTCGTTGCTGGTTGAATCTGATCGTCGGAACGTCCTAGTTATGGTACTTCGATGACCGCACGCCGCCGGGGTGGCAGCCGGACTACTTCAGAGAGGCCGATCCCTCCGAGCTCGCCTTCAAGAACTGCAAGTCCGACAAAGAGATTCACGACAAGCTGAAGATCAAGATCGGTGACCTCCAGACACCTCACCACACGCTCTCGGTACGCCGTCGCCACGTGTGACTGGCGCGCCTCGCGTGCGTGCTCCCTTCGACTACCCTTGGGGTGATGTTGTCGCCGTCTCTCTGCGATGTGTATTCTGCGGATCGGAAATCAACGACTTCAAGGCGTTGTAGCCGTGTGCCCAAGAACATTCAGTGCATGAAGTGGTGTCGGTTCGCGAGACAATGTGTTGAAGCAACAAGTTTCCCTTCATGGAACCTCTGGATCGGTTTGGCCAGAGACCCTGCAATATCGGGAACAACCACCACATTTAGTCAAAATATGTTTTCACGGCCTGCCGCGGAAGCCGCGATTAACACAAGCACGTCGCGCATTTTCGTTTCGAATACGGTACAGCTGCGATTTAGGGGATACGACACTCAAGAGCAGTCGCACCGCGAAGATCCAGACGCGACGACCGCAGATGGCGGCAACAACTCGTCGGACGACAGCGATGAATATAGCGACGGGGAGAGGTCCTGCGACGGCAGGCAAGTGGATACCTGAGTTGTTGGTATACGTCAGCGTGGTTGGAATCGCCAGCTGTCACCTAGTTTTCGGGCCACGCGATACCGACGTTTGGGGACGGTGCATAGTAGGCGATACTTCGTAAAAAGCTTTTGACGTTTGTCTCTAAGAGCTGCGCTATGCGGAGAGGTACCCAGTCACCTGATTTTCCCGATAGGGACCCGACTGCGTGCATAACTCGAAAGGAGTGAGCAATACGGGTCTTCCAATAGAATCTCCAGGCAGTGTACAAAATAGACTCATCGAACCAACCCCTTGTAGCTCGAGAGCGAGAGCCATGTTTGTTTCGTGTAATGAATATTTTTGTCCAGTTTTCCTGGCAAGTTCCAACCGAAATTCTTCTCAAGTTGCACGGGAAACTATAGTGGTTCTCTGAAGAATACCCCGAGGTGTACTGGTACTGACCGATTTAATACGAATCCTCTTGTTCCTGTAGATAGATTGAGACGTTGGTTCCAAAGCTAACAGTGAGGCGAAGTCGTGTCCCAGAATCGCAAGGATATATAAGTTGTCAATTTTTGTTGTGTGCTGCGGTCACGGCAGGTAGTTTTTTCAGGGTCAACTCGATTTGAACCAGATTCCATGAAGGAATGAAGAACTGAGGGATTTTCCTACAGTACGTATAGTCACAATGACAACATTATTGCGCAGAGGCCGTTTTTGCGCGTGAACTCCTCGGACTCTTGGCTTGTCATCAAGCTCTGAAGCTTCAATGTGACCGCATTTGATCCAATTGCAGCTTGCCTCAGAGGGGCAACAGTCTACGGCTTCCCTGTGCGTGTCGATCGGAAAATATTTCCTCACCGCTTCCTCGACTTTGGCGTTTCGCTCGAAATAGTATCGAGTTTGCGCTACCGCAGCGATGATGCTCGGGATTCTCAAATGTATCGTCCGTTCCCGTACCGGCTTGATCCACACACGCAAGGCAGCGTGCTCGAGCCGTGGCGATAACTACTTTGGCGGAGGTTTCTGATGATGAAGAACGGGCGTAAAAGAAACAACTGACAACCTATTGAACGCCAATAATATCCTCGATGACTTGGCCTGAAGGTTCTTCCACGTGCTGGTGGTTTGTCAATGCGTAGTGGTGGTATAGATGCTTCTTTCCAGTTCTTCGCATGACACTTTCGGCGAGAAATGGCGCAATGGTTGTTCGCGCAACGATGGGACATACGTTATTCAAAACTGTTTCGTCCTTGGTCAAGCGTTCGAGGTAATTCCTTGGTCTCTCGCACATTAAGGCATCGTTCTGCTGATGAGGAAGCACTCATATTCACGCCGTTTTCCTGTTGTCAACTTGATACAAGTAGTCGGCCGGATAGAACGTTCGACTAATTGTCAATCGCACGCACGCACGCACGCGCGCACGATACGAGCAGCTCTCAGACCCTTGAACCTTGAAGCATTCAGGTGTGTTCGGCTCCCACCGCCTTATCCGGCTCCATGTGCTAGTGTAGCACCAACGACCTTGTTTCTGGGGCCCTTTCTCCCTGGTTCAGGTGGGCCAAGGAGAGGAACCTCCTCACGTGCAAGGCCGGGCCAGAACAAGACGGGGAAGGCAACAGCGACGATGACGACGAGCAGACAATGGTACCGGAGACGGTTTCTTCGAGGGATGTCTCGAGAGTGGTGTCTGGCATGATGAGCAACCTCGACGTGTCCTCCAACAACGTAGGGCCAACGACATTGTGTCGTCCTCGTGCGTTGTGCAATGTCTTCATTTTCGTAGTGCGCTCCTCGCGCCACCTGCGCCAGTGCCTGATTCCAACCGTTACCCTGGGTGGTGTCCGAAGTAGGCAATAGCACGCCACACACATAGCTTCTATAGATTCACGCCGGGTGGAAGAGGCTTCCTGCCGACGTTTCCGCGGTGGACGATCTGAGACCAACATGCTGGCGATCCCCATCTGGTATTCTCCATGAGCGGCTCTGGCTCGCCACTTTACGTTTCAAACGAAAATTGTCGTTGCCCTGGCCGGTTTCGAAAAGCAGTGCTAACGCTCCTAAACTGCCGCAGGCCCAGCCTGGCGGCGACAATGACGCCGGGCGCCACCAAGCTTTCGAGGCACAAGAAAATATCACCGGTTACGAGGTTCGGCCCGCCCAAATGGTCGTGACGAGCGAGTACGACGCGGCCAGGGCCTGGGCCGTTACGCAGGCCCGGCCGACCCACACGTAAGATCCTTAAGCGTCGAGGTGGTACGTTGGTTGGTTGTACTGTTCAATATTCACGTGTTACCGGGTTCTTCAGCGGCAGTCCCCAGAAGCAATCGTACTATGGCACGTGGCCCGTTTCTCCGTAGGCCCGAAATTTGTACACGTACAATGTCGCATCCACCGAAACTTAGGTTGGTTTTGGGGCGGGATGTCCGTCACCTGACTAGAGTGTCATGTGTAGTACTCCGAAGTGCAGCACTCCATTGAACACAGCAATCCTTTGACCGAATGATGCCTACTAGCACAAGCCTAAAAAAGAAGCGTTCGGCTATGCATGGTATCTATCCGCCGTAGGAGTCTCATGGCCCAGCTCGAGATCACCAGAGAGCTGGCGAGGGAATTCCTGGAGAAGATGGTGCACGAAGGACTCTTCGTCAAGGTGCATGCGGGGTTTGTTAGATAATTTTTTTTCCGAACCTTAGGTGAAACGTGCTCCTTTTCCCCCACCCGGACTATGAGGTGAGTCGAGCTACTGTGAACCTATCAATTTTGCACCACCGATTGAGGGTGGCTAAAGCTCTACCAGTAGATCACATATTCACTACCTCTGTGAAGTGTTTGTACGGGGAAGGTGCATTACCGCCAGACCTGAGCAAGGCTGTGAGGCATGCTGCAGCTTAGCCCCCCAGTCCCCCCTTGATTTGGGGACCATCTTGGGTGACGGACACCGTTAACATCTTCGGGAATCCGTCCTGCCGTACGGCCCGTCGTCACCCTTTGGGGGGCCCTCTAGTCATACGCCCCCTCCCTTCAACTTCGCGTGCTCCTATCTCTCTTCTGAAGACATTTCTTTGCTTCAATCGAATCCCAGTGAGAGTTGGTGCGCAGTCTATGTATTGCACACATGTACCAGCATGGCGAGAAGAGAAAATGGGGGAGCTCTCAGAGGGATGGGTCCAAATACAGGGAGTACGCACGAGATGGAAAGAGGGCGGAGGGGGGGCAATACAGGTCATACCAGACGTACCAAAAGGGAGGTTCGTGACGGGCACCATCAGGATTCCGATGTGATGTATCGGCTTAGGACATGCAGTATCACAGTGAACGGTGCCTGATACGACGTTTTTTGTGCGGGGCGTACAGCAAGTCGTACAAGCCTCTGTCACCAGACCCTCTATCGCCGAGGCTGCTGTAAGAATGACGATGCACAACGTCGCTGAACCGACCCCTCATCCAAAACCTGCTTCGGCGATGATGCTAACGTTCTTCATCTTAAGAAAATTGCGCAATGCAGATTGTTGGGTGAGTAGGCGAGTCTTTGAGCTCCAGGGAGGACTCATGCATGATAGCAACACGTGGTAAAAGGGTTTCTCTGTAGAAAAATAGCCGGAACGTTGGGGCGCCTGTACGAAGAGCTTCAAGCCTACTTGTTTTCTGATACGTCAACTCACGGCGGTAACCAACCTCCTTTCTATTCCAATAACATCTGCAGAGAAACTTCAAGTACCATCGGGTCAAGGCATCCTCGCACGACGTGCAGTCAGGGGAACGCCTCAAGGATTCTTCGTCGTCGTTTTCTCCTCCGTCGTCAGAAACTGACATGGATGCGATCATTGACAAGCCAGAAGAGGTGGGCCATGACGTCAAAGGTGTCGATAGTGGCGACGATAAACTCGTGTCGTCGCAGGTGACTTGGGCGTGTCGAACGCTGTTAGAGCACTACATGATTTCAAGGCGCGCATCGACAGTTGTGGTATGAAGCGAACGGGGCCCAACCACGGCTTCATTCGTAGTACGGAGTACTATCGAGAAGTTAATGAAACAATGAGCGTAGATGGGCCTTTCCCACACGAGATATCATTTTCTGGTGTGTAGCTTGGTAGCAACCTGCCATCGAGGCAGTTCTTAGTTGAGCGACTGGGAACGTGCCACATTGATTTTCCTTAGGATACCGTAAGAGTTCGACGTATTGTAGGCCGCGCACAATGAATTTGGAGTCATCCTTCAAGGCGGCGTACTCAGCTTGAGACGTCAGCGAAGGCCTTTGATATTTTGGTCGCTGTTTCAAGATAGCATGTTCGCCATATGTTTCCGCTACGACGAACGAATTAAACATGGGTGTCCACCGCTCGTCGGTTTTGGGCCGCAACAGAGGTAATCGATCACATTGGCATAGTGCAGTATTCGGCACCCTACAGCAAGGCTCCCCCTGCCTTTCCTGACCTTCGGAGTTGAACGATGTGCCTCTTCGATGCATTCCTTGCTTGCAAATACGTTCTCCAGGTACCATCGGCAAGGGATGACTCGGAAACTCAAGTACCTATCACGGCAGCACACGACACTCAACTCCACCAAGATCGGCGCAACCGTACACCTTCTTCAATGCCTCCGCCGGCGCCAGCCGGGCGCCGATGTACGGGCCAGGTTGGACGCCGCACCCCCGAAGACCTTCGTCGCGGCTATGGGGGAGACTTCGCCACTCCGCCGATTCCCACGCCATCGGCCCCGTGAGTGCTAGAATCAATTTGCGCGTCCGTGAGGGAACCCCACGAGAAGTCCGCGATCGAGAGATTAGATAGCTTACCGCTGGGGTCTCGCTGTTGTCGATTTTGTTCACACGAATATCCCGTCCGATTTCGACCCGCCAGTATTCGATCGTGTGGGAACCTATCGAACCAAAGACGATGCAATTTTTCGTGGTTCTATTTCAAGGACTCGTTTTTTTCACATGTTACAAAGTTCAATACGAACACATGTCCACCCACAGATAGTCAACGAGGCCAGGAAAAAACGAAAGTGAGTTCAATGTCATATGAGCTCGCCGTGTTTCTACGAGTTTCCCACCCGGTGAGTGACAAGCTCAACAAGCCCCGGTGGGGGTAGTATGTTGTGCGTCAGGTTCTACCGGATGGTCTCTGTGTACAATGAGCTTCCGGTCAGTTGAGTCATAGTGCACCGGTGGATGAAGGAAAATATGAGCCTTTTCGCGTGTCGGGATTTCCGGGCATGGCGCGGCAAAGGCATGGAATTATGCTTCAACGCGGAGGGGACTCCCAAAGGGGCATGTCTACTCGGCGAGCTGATCGGAACTGCAAACTATCGCATGGAAATGTATTCCTGAAATTCCTCCACATGCCCTGGCTAGGTTTAGGTGGTAGGGTTCGTGTGGTTTTAGTTGTTGTCTCTGCTTCTGAAATCTCGCTGCAGTGCTACGAGGCTTCGAGTTGCTTTGCAGTGCGCAGTGAAATTTGGCTTTGAGCCGAACCCGCAGGTGAGCCCGCAGCGAGGTTCAATTCGTGGTGCGTACTGTTAGCAGGTAGTGGCGATGGCGTTCCTTCCATTTTCCCCTCTTATCTGTTTCACTCTATATCTCTCCTCTGCGAGTGCGCGATATGACCGTTGCTGATGCAAAACGTTTTCAGCAGCAGTCACGTCGTCAGACTTGATGTCATTGAGAATAGTTAGTTGGTGTTGCTTCATCCCGCTCCTTGCCGGACATAGGCCGGAGGTACAGCCCGTCCCGGAAAAGCCCCAGCGACGAATGATGATGACCATGGGAACGAAGCGCGTCCTAGACGAGTCCGCGTTGGCAAACGATGACGACAACAACGACGACGACGACGATGACAACAACAACAACAGCGACGAAGTGACCCAACAGAGCAGCAACATGCTTCAACAAGATGACGAACCGATCGACGTCTTCAATATGGTACGTTGCCCTCCCCGATATCTCCTCTGTACGCAACCGGTTCCCGGCGACAAATGCATGCAATGTACCAACAATCCGATTGTTCGTCCATCAGCTCGGGTGGGACGTGAAAAGCGTGTCGTGATCGGCGGCGCCAACCGCCTTGAGGGGCACTCAGTTCCCACATGATGCCGAAAATTCCATCCAGGAGTAGAAAAATAGGAGTATGGAATAGACTATGCATCTACCAACATCACCCATTGTGCATCGCATCACATGGGAACCAGGTCACTCCCCGGCGAAATTGACAGGCGTATTTCTGGTCGAACCTGGAATATCCTCCCCATCCTTGTCTAACAGCTACACCATAGGGTTGTGGACTTATTTGTCTGCGAGAACCGTTTTTCACCATATCGAGTCCCCGACACCTGAGCTATGTACAGTAGTTAGGTCATGTCAAGCATGGGCACTATTTTTTCTCGCAAATCTTCCAGTACACTTCCGCCGCAAATCGACACACATCGAATTTACACAGGGAGGCGCGGAGATGTGCACAGACACCGGCTACGAGAGGGTGATGTTGTCGCAAGCCAGCTCTACCTCTACTAGCGGGAAGGCGAAACGTAGGTGCAGCCTCGCCACCAACCCTATCCATCAGTATGTGCCAAGCAAGAGGCTGCGTGTCTGTGAGGAGTGACTGAAGCATGGCTATGGGTCCAAAGGTGTCGAGAACTGTGTCCATTGAACTGAGCTGTATCTAGGCATTTCCGTTGGGGTGGTGGTACCTGAGTAAACGCTAGTGCCGGGGACACCCCATGGGGTTGAATCGAACATTGCTATGTCGAAGGGCGCAAATCCCAAAGCAACGTCATCCTGCTCTTTATGTCCGCACGGGTCCCGGTAGGAGGAAGGCCGTCGGCATCTCGGGTTCACGAGCGAAAGGAAGGGTACTCTCGGACTAGACCTCAGGCGATCAGGCCCAACGTCGTTGGGCTGCGCTAGCAGGATTTCCAAAGAATGTGTCTACCATCGTTGTTTTCATGCTGGTCAGCGCCACTTCTGGGTAGGGGTTGCTTTCGAAGGGACGAAATGCGTGTGATCTACAGCACTAACAGGACGAAGCTGTTGTCTTGAAGGACGTTTCGTTGTGCTCTTGTACTGGTGGGTGCACCACATCCTCTCGTTGATGCCGGGAGCAGCACAACATGTCCGAGCCGGGATGCAATAATCATTGTACAAAACTTCGTAGACTAGATGCGTAAGTTGAACGTATCTGCAATACACTCCTACTCCGCATTTGCATACGTGTCGGAATTCGATGCCAGCGATATGCTATGGTCACCCCTTGTATACAACGGCATGGCCTTTCACCAGCAAACCATTCACTCACCTGATGCCAGTCGCATTTCACCGCATTTATTTATCCAACAAGATCATGTCAATTATTGCTTGCGTACGTACCCGAAACGATAACAACAGCAGTTCTCCCGCGCACATGTCCCCGAAACGTTCATAATTCATCCTCGCCACCGAATAAGGTCATCCGAGTCGAGCAACGAACAACGTAAGCTGCTACTTTTAGGTATACCGCGTTCGAAAAAACACTCCAGGAGTCGATTGGACAGACGGACATACAGTAGCGCGTAGATGTAGAGCAGGCAACGATGCTTCTTCGACCGCTCGCCGAACCCTCTCCACATACGTACATCCTTCTAGGATTCGAAACTCCACACTACTCGGATGAATTTGATTTTCCTCCTCTACGACCGGCGTTCATCAAACATCGAAAAGCCATGGTATGTTCTGCGGTAGATGGATATTGCTTTTTCTTGCGGCAATGTACTCAGCGGTAATAACCTCGAAAGCACGGGAATTTCGATTTTTTCGCGGTAAATATTTTCCACGAAAATGGGACCATGAAATGTTTTCGTTATCGGTTTGGGCGTTGGCGGTAAAACCAGTCTTGTTTCGTTCAACGTCGTTACCTCCCGGTTGCCGTCCCGCCTGTTGGGCCGGCGGCGATTTCACCACCAAGTGGCCGTCCTGCCTAATAATATGCGAGCGGCCGCTAGACCTTATGAATAGTACTAATAGATTACCGCAGGTGACTCTCTCTCAGAGAGACTCTGGCGACCATGCCATTGCTAGAAAAGCTTACCCATTAGACCACTCAACAGTCCGCTGACTGTTGAGTAATCCTGACTAGTCTAATGGGCAAGCCTTTTTAGTGAAAGATATACTCTCGGCTCGTAGCCACCCGGCTGGTCACTGGGATTTATAAGTAGGGATCTCCGGCGATGGACCCTTCGCCAGGCGCTGCCGGAAAAAGAACTAATGGTGCTTGAGAAAGTGACCAGCCGGGATTCGAACCCGTGCGTGTGCCAGAAATCATCCCTTCCGACGGGATGATGGTACTAGGGAGACGGTGTTTATGGACGCGGACAGGGTAAGTAGATGGCCATCTTGATTCGCGGAATAGAAAACGTGAACTTCGCGCCACCAGCCTTCTACGTATTGTAGGCCAAAAAAAATTGAGGTGCCCATTTCGCACATTATTCTTCACATTTTGAATACGTTTGTTTGTGAAGCATTCGGCATGCTACATAGTTCAAGTCGTGGTAGCTGAGTACGACGAAGGTTGAACCGCGTGTTACACGGTGAGTAGTACCGCACACGTGATTGAATTGTACACGCGATTTTTCCCGCTCGACTACTATTGTACAGTGTTCCACACGACGTTCTTCTGCGATACTCTGTACACTCCCGGAACGAATGCGCATCTCACCAGTCGTGGGCTGTCATGTCCGGGAAGCTCAAGACCCAATCCTCGAAGGACTCTCCAGTTTCCATTCGCCTCCCCTGCGCTGTCATGTCGGCGTAGTGGCGGGCCCAGATCTTGTCGCCGCCCAATTGCCAGCACTCTACGGCCAGGTTGGCCGCGGGCACTTCGACGCTACCATCAGGTAGCATCTCGCCCATGGAGCAAACCAAGAATATCGTGTGCGAGCGGGATTGGGCAGAGGTAGCGGGCGGCTGATGAGCCGATATGTTGCGAAGTTCGGTGAATGCGATCTGTAGACCACTATGTGATGCTCTATCGGGTACTCCTGGGAGCCGCGACACTGCATGGCCAAGCAAGGCCACAGAGCTGGCTCTCAGGCATGCAACACAACCTGCCAGACCGTACCGGATGGGGTGAAGCAGGGGAGAATTGCCCACGTTCTTCTCGCCATCGACGATGACGCTCAGTCCGCCGTTGGCCAAACATGGCGTCGGCATTCCGTCGGGGCAGCCGCCATTCATATCAGTTTCGTAGGAGTTCGTCACCTTAATCAGATTGCGGTGTGACGGAAGGTTGGGACAGATGGGTTCGCCGAGATCGTATCGTTTCTCGAAAAGTTGTACCTATGAATTGAACGCCGTTGACTCAACACTCCCCCCACAGATCGTGTCCATGAGGAGATCCCGACTGTTTTTTATCATCCCTACGATGTGAGCCATGGAGCAATAGTTGATACGTTCCGGTAGGTATACGCATCTTGGGTGAGATGAGTTGATATGACCACAGAGAACACTGTTTCCACAGTTGCAGCCAGTGATGCTATCGTTCTCGATTCGTTTCCCTTTTAGAAGTGAACTTGGTAGCGAATGTTTCCGTTCCTCCCAATCACGCATGGGCGACACAAAGACAGGTGAACGTGACAACGAAGAGGAAACGATGGCAGCCCTTCTGAGGTACGAATAGCTGTTCAGCAGCATGCATTGAGAGAAAAAGTCAGGAGTCGGAAAACCATGGAAGACATTGATGTATCACTATGTGGGTGGGGGTACCCTGTGCTAAGAAAGAGGGCGCTGGAATAATGTGCCCCGTTCGAAATCGGACCTTGGAATTTCAGTTTATGGTTCTCGAAACAAACACAAAACATGCCTTGAACCCACCATGTTCACAGCACCGCGTACTGTGATAAGCGAGTCATACCTCGAGAACCTGAGGATGTCCCCCCGAAATGACTGAGCGGCCGGTGACCAGCTGACGCTCAGGAAACGGTCCGGGGAGAGGCACTGTGAGCCGCACGTTTACTTGCAGATCCATGTCGTTGTCCTTGATAAAGCTGTACCACTCGCCGTCAACCCCGGACCAGTCGATTTTCTGGCCGCGTGGGCCCTTCATGTGGTGGTCATCGCAGATGTTGACTCCTTACGGGCAGTCTTCTTCGACAATGCGGGCCGCACGGGGAGGGGCAGGGATGAGGACGACGTCGGCGATGGTTCGTTTTTCGTTTTCAGAATGTCCAACATAGACTATGCCATGGCGCCGCATGGCTCACAATATAGGGACAGTGGACGGAAAAAGCTGCATGGGAGTGAAAAAAGCGCATCGATGAACCGGGTCTACAGAGAATAACGAGAGGTTATCAATAGGGCATGGAGCTTTGTCAACCACTCGACGATGGTCGTTTCCTGCACTTCAAAAATATGTGTCGACAGCGACACGCTCGATCATGTCGAAGTTGAGTGCCGCAAACCCAAGCGGACACCGATCGATGAGCGCGAAGAAATTCCATTCTCAAGCACAGACGACCTTGACGGGGAGCACTTCGATGGCAACGCTATTTATGTGCACGTATGGTTAGGTGGATGTGCACACAGAGCCGTCGTAGTGGTTCAGTGATAGGATGCCAGAATGTCCATGGTCATGCCAAGTTGTTTCTTGTGCAGGTATGTCGGTGGCCATGATACCTTTTGAAGGGCGATCGACGAGGGTACGGCGCGGGAATGCACACGGGTGTGACCAAGAGGTAACGGACAATGAAGCATGTGGAAGAAATGTGGGGCATGCAAGCTGTTACGTCGAGGGTGAAAGGCCAGGTGTGGCAGTCTGCTTGACGTCTTTGCTTAGGGTAGGTGGTGAGTAACACGAGACTCTCCGAGGAATAGTACACTGCACGCCTGTGTGTGGTATGTATGGTGATTTTTCGTGTGGGTCCATGTCGATACACAACAATTGCCCGCGGCCTCAACAGAAGCCAGCGTCCTTTCGGTCAACTTCTCAGGATAACAAAGGAGAACGTTCTTACCAAACTTGGAAGTGCCGAGAAAAGACGCCATAATGAGTTGGCAGCGTCATCAACCAACTAGGCTATGCCTTCAGGTGCGAGAGGAATTTGCATAGAGTGACACAAATGATGGACTCATGCCGGCCGTGAGACGGGTCAGTAACAGGCGACGAAGAGCCAGTCAGTCTTGATAGTTACGCGAGGTGTCACCGCCAAGAAAATGCCTCCCACAACAGTACGAGCGATATCAAGGAAGAAAACGTGTGTCAAAAAAATTCGGAAGGCGTTTGTGTGAAGGTTGAAAATGTCATCCCCGCTGCGCGACTGCCGAGTATTTACATGTGAAAGTCATTTTCATCACAGAGAGGAGATCACGACCAAGGAAGAAGCCTCAATAGCTGTTAGTCAGTCATCGGCTAGGCTGGTCAAATGCGATGATTTTCTTCCCACGCTTCGACATACCTCTTGGGAGAAGGGAGGCCAGGAAAACCCGATGAAGGTGGCAACCCTGACGTGGAATATCAACAGCCGTCTAGTCTACATGCGCTGGAAACGAATTTGGTCGGTAGCACTACCAAGTCTTTAAAGCCCCTGTCGAAACCTTGTCATTCGGCTGCGCGTCGCATGGTGGAGACAGACTTGCAGAACATAACACCCGAGGGAACGTCAACGAAGAAAGCATTAGACTAGAAGAGGGGAGTTGTCATCTGGCTGACAACGCAAGGGCTTTCAGCGGATGAACGAACACTGCCCGACCTATATCGGGTGTCAAGTACACGGTCGAACTGACCGCGACACAGGCAGACTGTGCGGTGTCGGCCTGGCATACGAACTCCTGTACAGAGTATCCACGCTCGTCGTAACACATTGTTTCCGGGGGTATTTTTTTTTTCGTACGTAGACCAATGTGATGCGCGCGATTCAATAAGTTGTACAGTTTGTCCTGAACAGCAGTATGTTGACTTCACGTCCACGCGGGTGCCCGCGTCTCCTGCCGCGGTCCGCTTTTGTTTGGATAGAACATTCATCTCACCGCCTTGTAGAACTACTCTCCTCGAAAGACCACAACGCGCGGGCGCGCGTCAATCGGAGAAATAATTTTCGTCGTGTTGAGTCATAAAGTAACTCCGTTCCCCCGTCCTATAATGTATGAACCGCAGGTACCTGCCTGTCCTGAGGAAAATCTTGCAAAAGAACTTTCCAACTTGCTAACGCTACGCGGATGCTGGGGGTTCCAACGGGGTGGTAGGGAGCAGCACTTCGATGAAGGACTCAGCGTCGGGCCCCCACGGAAACATTCCCCCTCCCCGCCTAACTCGCACCCCCTCTCTACCAGAAAGTCGTCTCATGACTCTCAACACTTCCTCCTCCTCCTCCTCCGTAACACTACCCCCAGCCACCCCCTTGTCACTGCCAGACACCGACTCGTTCTGGCCAACATGAGCACCGACTCTCGCCGCCGCCGCAGGAGCATTAGTAGAAGCACCCCCTGCATCCGCCCCGCCACCCCCAGGTATTCGCCTTCTGCGGATCAACGCCCTCTGAACGTGCCCTGCCCGCAAAACGACTGCCGCCATCGCCGGGCCGACCTCCCACGCGGCCGACAGCATGCCTCTTCTGAATAGCTCCCGAGACACGGCCCCCGCCGCCGCCGCCATCGTTGCCGCCGCGGTCGCCGTCTCTGGCCTCTCCTCTTGCAGAGACGAGGCTGGAGGTGTCGGAGTGTCGGGTGTTCGAAAGTCTACCACGGCGACCCCTCGCGACATCAAAGACGCTCTCACCGAGCCAGTCAGAGAGCCGTCCCCCTTAAACGCATGGACAACGAGGTTAACGGAAGGGAAGACGCCGCAACAAGCAGAGGGAGTCGAGCCGGGCGATTTCCGTGAGCTTCGAATGACACGGGTAACAAACGAAACGGACGGGCCTCCGGGAAACCGGCAAAAATACAGCGGGGTTCGTGATTGGGAGACTGCTGCTTCAAAAGCTTGGAGCAACATCATGCTTCCACTGAAGGACTGACGCCTGAGAGGAACAAAATAGCATGCTTTCAATCTCTGAAACGTTATGCGCTGCGATTCATGGTTCGCATACGTATTGAACTGTCCATCGCCAGCGGACCCCTTCTATTGTGCTCGCGACTAGCATCATCCTTCATGAAGCCGGAGACACCTAGATTCCTTTAGGCGGGCTGATCACAACATCGCTGCCACATGTGAAGTAGCTCCATCTTCCACCAAGTGATACACTCGCAAATGTGAGCTTCAGGTTTGGCGCAACAACAATCACAACAACCCGGTCGCCCCGGTGGTGTAGTGGGTAGCCTCGCAGCCTGCTAAGGGCCAGGTCATGGGTTCGAGTCCCGACGGAGAGAGTTTTGTTCTCACTAAATAAATCCTGGCCTCGGATGAAAGCGATGCGCTGCAAAGCTCGTTTGTTAGTAAACCATAATCGACTTCGTAAGTCACGAGGGAAGGGATTGCTGTACCCTTCTCGCGATAAAAATACCTCAGGCATGAACCGCAGGAGGGGGTCCAATCCCCCCCTCCTATGTGACCCCGGTTGGGTCGTCTAGCTAGTAGAAGTGGAGGATAGGGGCCAGAGGGGCAGACGACAGAGTCCAATGATGGGAGAAAAACAAACAAACAAAAACTCGTCCGGTAACACCCACGGTGTTTCTTACATACTTTCGTCCCTAGAAGCCGACGAAACTCCGATAAAAATTACACCCCACTCGCTACATTGATTGTTGCACTCTGCCCGGGCGCCACGCTTCTGAACCAATGGCCTCCAAACGCGGGACGACTGCTGTGCAAACAGTTCGTGGTCTGAAATACGCACGTCCTGGCCTGCGGTGGCCGGCATGAAGACGACCGTGCGCTCCGGCGACTCTTCCAGCAGCCGGCTCTCCAGCACCCCTGCCAGCTCTGTCTCCAAACCTTCGTCCGAACGAGCACCAACGATCACCACCCGCAAAGCCGTTGGAGGCAGCGCTGTATTGCAGGCCTCTAGTTTGGCAACTCCAGACCGACCCTCCACCTTCACGGAGACCGTCATGACACCCGCGCGACGAGAAAATCGAGAATCGAGGTGGGCGTCAGAAGGAAGGGTGCAAGCAGCGGCGGCAGCAGCAGACGACTGACAGCACTTGTGCGGTGGAGAAGCGGAGGCGCGGAGAGGTGGACGCGAAACAGAAAACCGCTGGATGCTGGCATGTACTTGTAGGGCGAGGGCGTGGGCCACAACAGTCGAATGCGCTGTCGTTGCCGGTACCGCTGACGAAATCAAGGATAAACGAAGGACCCCCCGGACCGAAACGGACCGTAGAGCGAGTCACACCGCGAGGCCTCTGCCGGAAGTAGTATTGTACAACACTGAAAGAGAAAAACTTCGCGCACGCCGCCTACCGCAAGAGATCCAGAGCCGGCGCGCGAGGACCCAAACGCCTCCGAGAAGAACGCAAAAAATCTCGAAATTCGACCAGTTCTAGGGAAGTTCTCACCACGATGGCGTCGTACTCCTCGAAGTTCCTGCCACCCGGGGGCACCGCGAGATCATTCTCTCTTGCCCTGTCCTGGAGGCCTCCCACGCCTGCCCGAGAGCCCGACTGTGGGATCGACCTTGAGTACGCCCCGTCCAAGCAGCAATGCAGTACGCCGTAGCAAGACTATGGGACGGCCGACAAGAGCATAGGCAACATGGCGGTTAGCGTGGATCAACCCCATCACAAGCGCGAATGTGTACCACGATTCTCGCAAAAAACCGTACGCTATTTTTCCGTACTCCACGTACAGAAACACCCCCGGTGATACCATAAGAAAGCCGCGAGAAATATTAGCATTACTGATACCATCAAAGGCGTTATTATAGTCGTGGCTCTACGTTGTTCGTTGTTCCGGTTGAGAGTTGTAGGGACCTAGCTATTTTCCTTTTTGCGTCCTTTTCTTCTTTCTTCTTTGATCCCTTATATTGACTGTGGCGGATCGTATCCCGGTACGTCTTATTTTTCGTTTGGGTAATAAAGCCGTGTCTTGGAGGTCTTTTCTGGGATTCCACCCCTCCAACATGGATAGTTTCGTTTGATGGCTTAGCAGAAACGCTCCAGGCCGTCGGTCCACACAAGATAAACCCTAACCCGGTGATACTGTTTTTTCAGCTCAGCATGAGCCCAAAATTCAAACATACTCTCAGGTCGTGCATCTTACACCACACCCGAGAATATCACCCCAGTTGTTGTTGGTGGTTTTGTCTTCACAGTGAACCACTGTTCCGATCTCCGCTCAGTACCTTCTAATGTCCGTACTGATCCAACTGACGCACACATCATCCGTGGTCACAAGCCCACCACCCGTACTGGGGGTACACCTTTCTCCTTTCTAGAGATAATGCTCTGTTCCTGCAAGTTCTCCGGTTTACGGAGCAAACCAACTGATGCGGGTTTGAAGGAACGTGTCTCCACGCCAGTCTATGCCTCAAGCAGGGGCAGCCTCGTCCCTAGATAGATACCACGCCCGTAAATAATGCAGCACGACCCATCCCTCCATCTTAGCAGTGTCGCCACTTAAAACGCCTTCGTACCCGAACAAACAGCTCAAGAGTTGCACAAAGACCACCACTCCTGCCGCCAAAACACGGGAAGAAAGCAGAGCTTGGCGCTTGCGGTGTCAACATGCTTCCATGCTCTCTCTCTCTCTCTGTCTCTCTGTCTCTCTCTCTCTCTTTCTCTCTCTCTCACACACACACTCTCGTTCCTTGCGTCTTTCCTTCTATTGCAAGGGCACGACACTCCACGAAGCAAGACTAACCTACGTCCATATCGGCGAGAAATGGGCAGAAGAACCCTGCAGTATGCATAGCCAAACGACGTGCAGAGTGCCAAGCGATAGGTGTACTTACTGGATTGTCGTCTCCTTTATCAATACCTCCAGTCCTGCTGTGTCGAGGGATCGCTAAGGCGCCACTGCTAGGCGGTAGGCAAGGCAAACACTTCTCTCGTATCGGCTACCTCTGTAAACAAGCGCGCAGCATCCAAATGGCGCCGGAAAAAACAATACGATGAAAAATCAAAGCCACATCGCTTCGGCGTGTGTTGACTCCAACGAGGCGTCGGTATCTGTACATCGACAGCCCTTGCCGTTCGACGGCATTGTCAAGTACGAAGCCCTTGTCTTACGGACAGAAACGAAAGTGATGCCCCAAGTTGTGCTTCGTCCTGGGGATGGCAATGGACTGGATATGCGATAGATGTAGACACTAAAGACACCGTATCGAACAACATGATGCGACGGCTCACCTGGTGCGATACGCGGTGCACGAAGGCCGAGTTCAGGGCATGGCAAGCGGCTCCCTCCACCCCGACGGAAACGTCGATGCCCGCATCCGCCAAGCGTCGCAGCCCGCTCCCGGCTGTGCGGGGGTCTGGGTCCACCATACCCGCCACAACTCTAGAAAGATTGGACACAAGAAACAGGCAAAGGACGGGGGGGGTGGAGGGGCAAGGAACGAGGGAGCGTGCGGGGGGTGAAGGTAGTAGTCTTACCGTCAAGCACAAGGTATCACCATGTAGTTGGAACACACGTGGATAAAATCGCCAGCTGGCGGGCTGGGTGTTACCCCTATCAGGCGTGGGTGTAGGCGGCATTAAGCAAGGATATGGAGGAGGCAAAGGGAAGACGAGAGGCAGCGCTCAATGTCTACTAGCCTTGACAATGTGGGGTATACAACGAGACCATGAGTTCGGGCCCGTCGTGAGGTGGCCACGCTTGCGTGGGCAAGGTTCCAAGAGAGCAACAACCCACGCAACACCTCAGCGTCGAAGCACAACGCGAACCTCGACAAGCAACACTGCACACCCTGTGACGCCTAGAGGGCCCCGCCATCATGTGCAAACGGTAAAATACAGAGATCGATTTACAACAGAGGCTTTCAAATAGAAGGCTTGCAGATATACCACAAAACAAAGCGTGAATGCCAGCATTGTTTGTGGGTAAGGAGAGCATACCGGACCCAGCGACAAGAGGGAAAGGAAGAGACGATGCACCACGCGAAGAAACGCCTGCGGTAATATGTCGAACGGGCAGTCTTCTTGTGGTATGTATGATTATTTTCTAAATCATCGCGGCAAAAATGGCAGTACCCGCCACAGCCCCCCCCCCCCCCCCCCCCCCCCCCCCCCCCCCCCCCCCCCCCCCCCCCCCCCCCCCCCCCCCCCCCCCCCCCCCCCCCCCCCCCCCCCCCCCCCCCCCCCCCCCCCCCCCCCCCCCCCCCGAGAATTGCACCTTGCTACGCCACACTCGAGGAGTGCTGTCGTGCAGGGAGGCGTGCGGCCGAAATGGTTGCACGGTTCCAGCGACACGTACGCCGTACCTCCCCGTGCTCGCTCGCCGGCCTGACGGATAGCCCACACCTTCGCGTTGGGATACAGCAGCAGGAGCGACGGTACCAACATCGTCAGGCACGTGGTTGGGCGTAAACAGCAGAGAGCGGACTTTTTCGAGGCAAAATTATCAATACGCCGTAGTAGATTGCAGTGCTAGGGGTGAGCGGCGTGCGGTCAGGGGGGCTGAAGACAACGCTGACGGCATTTACGACAACAACGCCCTGCGAACGACAACGGCAGAAACAAAGACACCATTATCACCGACTGAACAGCAGCAGCAACTACTGTACTTGTCAATAACAACATGCGTCGCCATTGCGCAACTCCTGCTTCAAGGGCAAGAACTCGAAACGAGCACAACGCGCCTAGCACAGCCACAACGACAATGCCGTCAACTGAACCCCCCCAAAACAAAAGGTCCTAAGGAGAACGAGGCAACGGCAATCAAAGCCCATCACATGCCGATGGTTTGTCTCCCAAACTGGCTGTGGATACCATCATGTGGTTTGCCACCTCCTCAACGTTTCTATGGAGTGCCATATGCTTCCTCCCAGCATTTTGTTGCCGCAGGTATGCTGAGCGGAGACAGAGGTTTGACGACGGGGTGTTAGCTTTTTGCGATCGACTTCCGAGAAAGGTGACTAGTTCGCTCAGTCCAGTTCCCATCTCAACGCAAAGCAGCAACAACCCCCGCACACCCTACATGTGGATGTACGCCACGGTACGGTCTCACCATCTTCCCCCAGTGCTGCCAACTGACTGCATCTGCTTCGTGTACAACCACCAACGGCACGAAAAGCCTGCGCCGATTGTGCAAACAAGTGTTGGGAAGAGACGCGCAGCAGCCTTCTGCCTTCATGGGCGAGGACGCGACTCCGCAGGGTTCTAAATGGCCTTGCGGCAGTCTCACCTCCGCGTGGGGCTCTCCGGCCCTGGGGTGAAACCCTTCTCCGACCACCCTTCCCTCCTTGTCTAGGATAACGCACCCAACTGCGGGGTTCGGCCGCGTGTGGCCCAGACCCTTCGCCGCCAGGTCCAGCGCCCTCCGCATGTGCGCCCCGTCGACCTCCAGCCCCGACCTAGCTTTTCCTCTGCCCACCGCTTCCGGGCTTCGCGCGGCAGCAGAGGAAGGAGGGTCGGTGGGCGGAGTTGAGCTACCGCCCTCGGCAAGCGTCGCCGCCCCCGCCGCCGCACCAGGAGCGGCAGCGGCTGCTGCGGCGGCGGCGGCGGACGCCCCCGAGCTCGACATGTTTGCCGTGGGAAGCCGTTTCCGTTGTTGTCGGCGTGGTTGGTGGTGCTGTTGGCGGGAGGAGGGGCAGTGGTGCTGCTGCTGCGGCTTGTAAGACGAAGAGGCGCAGGCGGTTGGAAGCGCGAAGGCCACTCGGGCCACGGCGGCGGTGAACACGCCGCCGACCGAGGGGGTTGTCGATGTTCTGGCGAAGGGGCTGACGAAGCTGCACACCATTAACAGGTTTGCGGGGCGGAGGTTGTAGGAGAGGTGGCGTTGGCTTCCCAGCAACACCGCGAGGGTGATCCCGCACCTTTGTTATCGGGGGGGGGGCGTGCGGCAACAGCGTTTGTTGGCACGTTGGCCGGACATCGTGGGGGCACCTTGTTCTACCACACCACGTACACACTACAATGTATACACTACCGGTACAGCAGCTGCGGGGTGGAGGTACGTGAGCAGCAACACTATTTACTGCGGTGAGGAGGCAGTCAGGTGGATGGCCGCGGATCAGACGGCGAAAAGACACGGTCAGCAGGACCATGGTGTATTGGAAGGGTTGCGAAGTTGCAGGAGGATGGCTGGCTTTCATCTGGACCAGGGGACAGTTACATGAAAGTCCACGGTACACCTGCTGTGGTGAAACGACACGCTATCGCTTGCGTGCTTCCTCGTACTGCTAACTCCACTGCTGCCGACTGCTGCACAACCAGAACCTTTGGCTGCGACATACATATATGACATAGGCATTGCCATGCAATTGCATACCAAAACATACGGCAGCAGAAGCTGGTCGGCGAGCTGCTGCCACGCTTCGCCAAAGGGTGTATTGATACTCACTGCACGCTGCACGACCGACTGGCCTTACTTCGGCGTGTTCGGGGGCCTCGGAACTCGAAATGTCGAGTCTGACAATGTCTTCACGACAGCTCCATACCAAGTCAGCTCGTACCTTGAGAAGAATCTCGAGTTCATCCACAGCTGGGAGAGGCCTGGCGGAGAGGAGGTCCGCGGCCGGTGCCAGCCTGCTGCGGGACAAACGAGCGAAGAGAGGAACGACATTCCAGGTAGCGGAACGGGGGGACAAAATATTTATGTCCCCGGGAGTTATACACCGAAAATTTCGGTTCGGACCCACGAAACCGTCACGCGCAGACCGTCATTGGGAGGAGAGCAGGAGAGGCAGACACTCCGCGCTCGGCGCAGCACCAAGCAAGCAAATTCCTGCACGCCGGCCCAGGTTCAGTCGTCAGGATGAGCGCTGCCATCGGGGTGAGCATGAGATTATGTCTGTGCAAACATATGCTTTTAACGGCCTACAGCAGTATGTACAACGGCAATATGGTCTCTCTCCCCACTTGTTGCCTTGCGAGCGGAGCTTCTACAACGGTACACTCCTGTAGTTAGGCTGATGTAGTTTGACTGAAGTTTGGGTTGGCCCACAATATTGAAGCTCCCTGTGGGTCTCTACACTAGACACGGTAGTCCCAGGTGGTGTGCGCACCGAGTTCTTTTATCTCAGTGTGGTTGCCTTGCTTGACACGGACGCTCCAACGGGCAACACATACGCAAGGCTTTCAAAACACCGGATCTCCCGTCAAAACTCCTCTTGTACCGCCGAACACCGCACCACACACGCCAGGCGCCGACGCTGTCCTTAGAGAAGGAGATGCAGCGCATCGAACACAAGCGGGCCCGCAATGTCGCCCGCACCGCTCGTTACCTGGATGCTCGGTTGCGCACCATCGGACTCGACACCGACGCTCTAGACCAGCAGATGAGAGAACAACGCGAACGGAAGGAGCGGGAAAGGGTGAGCGAGTCGTGCCGAACAGCATCTTGGGGGCGGTGTTCTTCAAAAATGCACGACCAGCGGGAGACGGGACCGGCTTGTCTATGAGTTTTGAAGTGACTGCCGCTTTGACGTGCTGTGTGTATTTCGTGTTTTGTGTTGCTTCCGTAACTGCTTTGTAGATGGCCTTGAAGGAAGAGTTCGACCGCAACGAGAACGTGTACAAGCATGTGGCGGCGCAAGAGGCCGAGGAGAGGCGGCTCAGGGACCAAGAGCTGGAGAGGATGAGGCTGGAATGGCTCGAACAAATGAAGGTACTGCTCTCTTACTCACCTATCGCTGACTAGTAGTCTAGTGGTCATCGTGCTTCTTAACATCACCCATTCTCTGCGCAGAGAGTGCCGCCCGTCCATCCCATTTTTAAACCGCCCCCGGTCCGAAGCGAGAGGTTGCCTGTCGGCTTTGAACGGCGAGGTCAAACTGGATGATCCTGTCGACAGACACTAGGACTGCACGACGAGCACAATATAAGTGGCATAGTAGGCACAACCCTAGAAAGGACTCAACTAGTGTATCGTAAGCATCACAACGCTTCTTCCTGCCCACCCACCGTTGAGCCACAGTAGCTGGTGAATGCGGCGTCCTCTGAGCGCAACCGTGTTCATTGCGCTATCTTTGTTGCTGTTGTTGTTGCTGCTGCTGCTGCTGCTGCTGCTGCTGCTGCTGCTGCTGCTGTTGTTTTTGGTGCCGGTGCTGGTGCTGGTCTTATTCTGTCCTCGCGTGTCCTCCGCAACCAAGTTCAAGTACGACAAGGAGCAGAGGGAGAAGGACATGATTCACGCGGGGGTAGACTTCGACAAGTGCGGGCCGTCCGCGGTGCAGACCATGGACGGAGAGGACCCCGACAGGCTCAACCGGACCGCTCAGCAACAGGCACAGGTACGCAGACAGTTTATTTTTTTCTTTTTTGCGATGGATCATGCCTTGATAATGACGGCGTTCTGTCAGGCACTGAGTAGCTACAACGGGGTCGTGGTTTGACTGACAATGAGATGAGCCCACAAGATATCCCAGAATCCACCCAACAAGTGAAGTAGCGATGTCGGGTGCCGAACTAACAGTCCCACGTTAAGGTAATGTCTCTAGGGCTCTGGCTTCTCGGTAGAATGTGTGGGAAGAGATGGACGGCGTGCGTTTTGTCTGGAGAGAGCCGGCAACCGACTCTCTATTGTTGTTGGGTACGTGCCCCAACATGTACAGTAGTGTTTGGCGTGGTCTTTGGTGCTCGAGTGGACGGCCTGTGCCTCGCGCTGTTCCCACCTGTTCTCCCCGTCGCCGTCGACTTTCTTTCTTGCGCCTGTACGCCGGCAAGCACCCTTCCGCAAGACGGCTGGACGGCAGCACGCTTGTGGTCGCGCTTGTTTCTACGCCTTTCTCGACGCCGGGAAATTGTTGCAACAGCCCTCGTGAAACTCTGACATACATATTGTTCGTGTATCTGTGAAGGCCGGGACGATGGCAAGGAAGCTTGCTCTTGGTCCTGTGCTCCATGGGCCGGATGTGCTAGTAGCCCGCGTGGCGTGCCTCTCTCAGCAGCATACAATTGAACTGCAAAGGTCAAACGATTTGTTTTGTGTGTGTGTGTTTTCGTCCTGAAGGCGCGTGGTCATGTGAAGTCGTTGCCATGAAGGCGGGAGCGCAGTGCGGGCATCCGTTAACCCTTCGTTGGGCTTCACGGTCAATCGGCATTGTTTCATTTTTTTTTTCTTCTTCTTGCACTCGTGCTACGGCCGCCGCCATAAAGATGCGCGCGTGGTCAACCCAGCTGGCGAACGAGCGGCTGGAGAGGGAGAAGCTCGCGGACCAGGAAATGGCCGACTACTGGGCCTACCTAGAGAGGGTAAGGGAGCAAGCAGACGGTCGCGATGGCGGGGGGCAACAAAATCGTGCCATTGCTGTGGCAATGGTTTGAGTGGTAGGCCAGAACTGTTTGCCATAGGCCATACTTGAGCGTTTGGGTGAGCGGAGACTTTGGCATTGTCTGATCTACTCTTAGGTACTGCTTCTGCTGCGGCTCTTAAATTCATTGCAACATGGCGCGTTATTATCCAATAACGGCCATGCCCCAAAACAGCAGTGCATCCGGTAGACATGGTTTGTTTGTTTTTTTCTTGAAGAAGCCGGTCTGCATCGCCGCGACGGCACGAGCACATAAAAAGGGGGCGACCGCGGTAGCACTGTAGGCTGTGGACCCGCAGTGTTTGGCGTGGGCACGTCGTTGTTGTCTAAGTCCACCGATGTTTTCCGCGTCTCCCTTGATCATCGACTTTGGCCCTGGTAGGCTGACCACGAATAGGCACAGAGAGAGGAAGGGCAGGAGAGAAAGCCGAAGTTTCAGAGAGATAGACAAGTACCCATGGGCGCGGCTTTTATTAAGTTTGTATGGTGGCATTTAATATGGTGGCTACGGTTTAAGAGAGACTATTTAAGAGAAGGTATCGATTTAGGAGAGTCGAACTGACTTGTCACGACCATGAGCACAGTACAGTTTAAGAGAAAAACGGGTTCAAGAGAGATATACTGGCTTGTCATGAACCTCTCTTAAACCGTGGCCACCACTGTACTTGCTATAATCAAGCCACACCGTCGTCTCACGCCTCGTGCGATCGTGATTGCACCCGTGTCTCAGGTCAGCCAGAGACAGGGAGAGCTAAGCGACGAGGAGGAGGCTGCGAGGAAGGCTCTCAGCCTCCAGATCAAGGACGAAAACCGACGCCGAGCGTTGGAGCGGGCAGAGGAGATGGCCAGGCAGAAGGATCTCGAGGACCAAGCCAACGCCGACGAGATTCGCTACAGGTGTCAGTATTGGGTCGCGGGCAGGGCGAGGAATTCAGCTGTTGGTCAGGGTTAATGCTACTCCGGCCACAGCACCACCACCCAGGCTTTGATCCATGAGCGTTGCATTTTTCGAGAACATGTTTCTGGTCCAGATGTACTCGTTGGAGGCTTGCTTGCGGTTGTGTGCATGCCGAATATCGACTCGTCCATGCTTCGTGCTTGTTCGAGCGCGCACAAGCCGTGTCTGCGGCACCACTGGTTCTTGAGGCAGGGTAAGGTTCAGCTCTATCCCTGACCGTTGGTGTGATGTGGGGCTGCTGCCGTAGGACGATGCGCTGTTGTCCAATGGGGTGTAAGGAGGCATCATCTGGCTTGATCTCTTGTGCGCTGACAAGATTTGGTGTGGTGTGATGGAGGTCTTTTTACGGTCGCCAAACAAACCCAACCCTCACCCACGGCCAACGCACGGCCTAGCGACCGCGAACTGGGCGAGAACGCGGCTGCGTCGCATTGTTGGAATGCGGCATAGGGAGAGGGCGCTGGAGAGGAATCGGCCGCCCGAACCAAACGCTCGGCCAATCAGAGGGCGAAAAAGCGCATGGATGGAAAGAGTCTGTAACAGACAGTAAAAATTACCGGGTGTGATGTGATGCCGCAGGAGGTTGTCTGTCTGACGTGACGCATGGTCTGAGGCGACATGGCATGGTCTGACGTTTGCACGACATGGTCCGGTGTTATGTGATGTTGCTGCTGTGACGTGGTGTTTTGCCGCGCCTCGTAGGAACGAGTTTCTGAGGGAAGATGAGGGCGAGGGCAGCTCCACCAACAACGTTTTCAAGGGGCTGTCTCGGAAGCAGAAGGCTGAACTCCACCAGGTGATGGTCTCGTCGGCAGCGTTACCAACCTCAGCACTGATCCGGCAGATTCAATAGTGCTTTTGTTCCAAGCCTTCCTCGATGCCACAATCATAATCTTTTTTCGAGGGCACGCAGGAAAACTGTCTGCACATTTCCGCCCATCGGTTGGGCTCGCCAGGCGCCCCGTGGCGCATGCCGGCCGCCCAAAGCCGCCGATGCAGGCTCTATTTTCGCTGGGCGACATCCCGAATCACAAAAGCCTTCGCAAGATTGCAATACTCCTACATAGGTATGCATGGCCAGGAGCAGTTGTGACAGCGGTGCACTACACGTCCCCACAAACCACACGCAACACGACACACACAAGATGAAGGGTGACGAGTGAGAGAGGGAGAGAGAGAGCGCGAAAACTGTGCGTTACAGCAGCAGGATGTGCGGTAAAGAAACCGGTAGCCTGCACGCTCACGTACAAGCAAGTAAAGACGCGTCGAGAAGTAAAAAAATTTCCCCGCTAAATGTGCGGTCAAGCACCAGCGCCAGTTCAACTATTTTCATGCCCACACCAGAGAGCGCTGGATACAATGGGAGCAGAAGACACGGCAGATAGAGCGGTAGCACCAAACATGCCTTCACAAACACCGAAGACCAAAGCATGACCTGCGAGACGTGAATGGTCACCGAAGGCGTACAGGCCAAATACACGCACACTCAAGGGAAGGACTGGCAATTGTTTCAATAGACCTACACGGGAACCCCTCGGGAGCGGGCACATGAAAGTAGAGCGACATCGTCGAGGAGTGAAGCACGATGAAAATCAAAGCAGGCAGCAGGACCAGCCCACAGCAGTCGGCCAGTCGCCAGTTGTGACGCTTAACAGCAGCTCAAACCGCTGGTGTGTTCCGCTGGTATGTTTTGACTCGAAGACCCCAGCAAACCTGGACGGCGGTGAAGTACTTCACTAGTCTGTGTACAGTCTTGTTTTTCTGGCCGGTGACAGCTAATTGTTTTTTTTTTTTTGCTCGACCGAGGACACCCAGAGTAACGCGGACATGCGTGCGGCGCGGTTGCGGAAGGCGGAGCAGGAGAGGGAAGAGGAGGCCGCTTGGTTCATGCAGCAGGTCCGTGTGTCTACAGGAGTTCCGGCGCAGATCGATAGGGCGTCGTGCGTGCGTGATGGCAACTTTTTTGAATTGTGTCCGCAATGGCCGTGAGGCGGTGGAGGAGGCGGGCGGGCGCTTGTCTAATGCGACGGCAGGGGTGGGTGGCAGAACAGGGAGTGGCCTGACTGGCGTTGGTCTGCTGACGGCTTGCAACAACAACGACGACGGCACGAGCAGTCACGACGGCCGTTGGCAGTAGCCTCAGAAGACGAATCTCTACGTGGAGGGCCGGGAGGGAGCAATCGTTGTTCAAGCACCATAAATGCGATTGCTCGGGCAGCCAAGTGTGAAGGAAGAAGTGCAATATTGGAAGTAGATCGTCGCTGCACATGAGTCCCCCCCTCCCCAGGACTCGCAGACATTTTGCCTTGAATCGGGGCCGAATTGCCCGCCAACCGCTTCTTTTTTTTTTTCAGGAGAAGATGCGAGTGGCGATGGAGCAAGCGGACCGAGAAGAACGCAAAAGGGTGAGCGTTTCGCAATCTGTGTGCTCCGCAGGGCTGAAGGTCGCCACTCGGCATGTAGCCCCTGTGTGATTTTATTCTTCGCCCCTTCCTGTGTGCGTCTCTCTCCCTCCGCTTCGGTCACTTCTGGCTCGGTCCACCTCGGTCTGTCTGCCTGTCTCTGTCTTGTCTCCATCTCGTCTCTGTCTGTCTGCGCTCTCTTGGGGCGTTTTGCCGAGTCTCAGGATTCATGTCTTATATTCCAATATGGTCATCGAGCTATTTTCTCCGCACGCCTACTCGCATGACACCATCGCAGCCTGAGCCTAACAGCAAGCACCTATGGTATGAAATCTGAGCGGCCAAGTTTTTGGTTACGTCTTGTTCGAAAGACGTGTGTGCGTTGCGTCTTTGATGGCGGTTTCTGCAAGAATGTTTGGTCGTGGAACTATGCAACGGCAAGACGACGACAACAACAACTTCAACAACAATAACAACAATAACAGCCAAATCGGACAGAGGCGACCTTTGGTACTATCGAGGCCCGTTCGATTTGTCCTGAACCAGTACGGTACGCTGAGAAAACCCTTGCGGGGTGTGACGCGTGACACGCGGGTTCGATTTTTGTTGACGACGATCATCGGTTCGTGACAGTTGTTGTTGTTGTTGTTTTCAATTGAGCGTGCATGTCGTGACGCTTGAAAAAATCCTTTCTCTCTCTTGGTTGCTTCGTGTCCAGCATTTGCATGGACGATATGTGAGCATGACTGGGCTCGAGGGGGGGTATTCATGCCCACACGCTTTCCTTCAGCGAGACAGCGAAAAAATTGATGCTAGCAACCGTGGCCTCTGCAGTTTTCTATTGTTTTTTCAACGCCGTTCCTACGCCATTCTCTCTCTCTCTCTCTCTCTCTCTCTCTCTCTCTCTCT